CATGCTAATCCTGCCCAGTCCCTGGACTTCAGAAAGTGTGCAGTGAGGCATGTTTCCTGTCCGTCTGTATGTGGACAATGCTCACTGAGGCTTGCACTGGGCCAGGCTGGGGAGCCCTTGCCTTTCAGGAGGCAATCACTGTAGGGACTTCTGATCAAGATTCACTGAGTTCACTCTTGAACTCTCCCATCCACTCCAAATACCCCAATTACATGTGCTCTAAATTTTTAATTAAAAACACATAGGCTCAGGGGCATCCCAGGTGGCTCAGCGGTTTAGTACCGCCTTCAGCCCAGGGCATGATCTTGGAGACTCTGGATCAAGTCCCACATTGGGCTCCTGGCATGGAGCCTGCTTCTCCCTCTGCCTGTGTCCCTGCCTCTCTCTCTCTCTCTCTCTCTCTCTCTCTCTCTCTCTCTCTCCTTATCTCTCATGAATAAATAATAAAGTCTTAGAAAAAAAACACATAGACTCAGAAACATAATAAATATCCCTACTGAACAAAAACAGAACCAAACCTACAGAGGTGATCTGGGGCTGAAGCCGCTACTTTGCAGGACTTTGGGTCCGAAACAGGCCATGGCCTCTGGAAATGAGACTCCCACAGAGTCATAGGACCAATAGTGCCCTGCACAGAGAACAGCCAGGGCCACTGCCATTGCAGAAACCGAGGGACTGGTGGGTCTCCCTGCTGGTGACACATCCCAGCCTCACTGCACAGTTGGGGAACGCTAAGCCACCAGCTTAAAACCTGATCCTGGACCAGGGATCCTGAAGTGCCAGGTGGAGGCAACCTCAACAGTCCTAGGCAGAAATAATCATGAAGGAGAATAAAACAGCTGTCATTCATGTAGAGTCTGCAGGTGAAGATCCCAAAGAATATAAATTCACAGTAAGAAAGCCCACAAATTAACTGAGAAGCGAGTTTATATCCTCTGAAACGCAAATAGAACATGTTTAAAATGGATGCAAATGATGTATGTTTAAATTCAAGAGATTGGTGATTGCATGTAGAAGGCCCATATGAGCCAGGAACAGACAGATATGAAACACAACCAGTTGGAAGTCCTGAAAATGGAAATTAGTAATTGGAAAAACTCTATGGTTCAGGTAAATGCATAACTGGCCACAAAAAGGGACTAATGAGTAGTCTTCAGTTTGCTAAAGGATGCTGAGGATTGAGCAAGACGTGGAAATATGTCTGACACATCACAGTGAGGCCGAGAACACTGAGGAGTAAGAGAAAATCCAAAATCCCTTCGGGGAGGAGGGGCGCAGGCAGTCGGCAGCGATGATCCCTCTGCATGAGAGGTGCTGGTTGTAGATGCCCCGGCCCCCAGAGGGCCTCCCCATTCAGCTGCAGCAGCTGGTGTGCACTGTGCGGGCACAGAACTGGCGGTTGCGAGGCTGTGGATTATGGACAAGGAAGGAGGGCCTCATGCAGGACGATGAGCAAATCCACTGGTGGGTTTTCAGGAAACCCTGGAGACTCTTGAGATTGCTGGGAGGGAATGAAATCAGCCCAAATTTGTATTTACACTTCCCTTGTTCATGTCACAGCTGAAATGGTCTTATCCGTGGACAGGTTTTGCTTTTTTTCCATGCGGTGTTGAGATAGTAGTGGCGTCAGTGAAAGTCCCAGTATCCTTCAGATCTGTGCCTGTAATCGCTCCCTCAGTGTTGGCTGGGGTCTTATTCTGTGACAGGCACGCGGGGATATGGAGATAAGGGAGGCAAAGGTCCTGGCCCTTATACAACTTATGTCCAAGCAAGTCAGATCATTATTAAGTGAACACAGAACAGAGTAGGAGATCATGAGAAAATATAGAGCCGGTTGTACTGGGTCAAAATGCATGTCCACCTGGAACCTCCAAATGGGACCTTATTTGCAAGTGGGGTCTTTGCAGATGTAATCAGTTAAAATGGGGTCCTACTGGAGTGGGGTGGACCCTAGAGCCACTGCCAGTGTCCCTCTGAGAAGAGAGAGCACAGAGACACACCCAGATGGAGGCGGGTGGAGCTGGGGTGCAGATCAGAGCCTTGCAGCTGTGAGTCGGGACACCCCCCCAGGATGGGGAGCTGGGCCCCCAGGTTGGAGAGCTGGGGTTCCCCCAGGATGGTGAACCAGGCCCCCCGATGGTGACCAGGGCCCAGGATGGGGAGCCAAGGTCTCCCCAGGATGGTGAACCGGGCCCCCCAGGATGATGAGCTGAGCCCCCAGGATGGTGAACTGGGCTCCCCAGGATGGCAGCTAGCCCCACTCTCTCACAGCTCACTCGCTCCTGGAGAAAAGGCAAGGAAGGCCTCCCCTAGAGCCCTCTGAGGGAGTGTGGTCCTAACTTCCCACTGCAGAGCTGTGAGAGGATCTGCTCTGCGGCTCTGAGCCACCCCGTCAGTGGCACTTGTTCCAGTAGCCCTAGGGAACTAATATACAGGACGGAGAAACTCCTGCCAGCTCCTCAGGGCTCCCCTTGTTCCTGAACTTTCATTTTTTTTTTTTGAAATAAATTTTATTTTTTTATTTTTTAAATAAATTTATTTTTTATTGGTGTTCAATTTGCCAACATACAGAATAACACCCAGTGCTCATCCCGTCAAGTGCCCCCCTCAGTGCCCGTCACCCATTCACCCCCACCCCCCGCCCTCCTCCCCTTCCACCACCCCTAGTTCGTTTCCCAGAGTTAGGAGTCTTTATGTTCTGTCTCCCTTTCTGATATTTCCCACACATTTCTTCTCCCTTCCCTTATATTCCCTTTCACTATTATTCATATTCCCCAAATGAATGAGAACATACACTGTTTGTCCTTCTCCAATTGACTTACTTCACTCAGCATAATACCCTCCAGTTCCATCCACGTTGAAGCAAATGGTGGGTATTTGTCGTTTCTAATGGCTGAGGAATATTCCATTGTATACATAAACCACATCTTCTTTATCCATTCATCTTTCGATGGACACCGAGGCTCCTTCCACAGTTTGGCTATTGTGGACATGGCTGCTAGAAACATCGGGGTGCAGGTGTCCCGGCGTTTCATTGCATCTGAATCTTTGGGGTAAATCCCCAGCAGTGCAATTGCTGGGTCATAGGGCAGGTCTATTTTTAACTCTTTGAGGAACCTCCACACAGTTTTCCAGAGTGGCTGCACCAGTTCACATTCCCACCAACAGTGTAAGAGGGTTCCCTTTTCTCCACATCCTCTTCAACATTTGTTGTTTCCTGCCTTGTTAATTTTCCCCATTCTCACTGGTGTGAGGTGGTATCTCATTGTGGTTTTGATTTGTATTTCCCTGATGGCAAGTGATGCAGAGCATTTTCTCATGTGCATGTTGGCCATGTCTATGTCTTCCTCTGTGCGATTTCACCATACTCAAAGATAAACTCAAAATGGATGAAAGATCTAAATGTGAGACAAGATTCCATCAAAATCCTACAGGAGAACACAGGCAACACCCTTTTTGAACTCAGCCACAGTAACTTCTTGCAAGATACATCCATGAAGGCAAAGGAAACAAAAGCAAAAATGAACTATTGGGACTTCATCAAGATAAGAAGCTTCTGCACAGCAAAGGATACAGTCAACAAAACTCAAAGACAACCTACAGAATGGGAGAAGATATTTGCAAATGACGTATCAGATAAAGGGCTAGTTTCCAAGATCTATAAAGAACTTATTAAACTCAACACCAAAGAAACAAACAATCTAATCATGAAATGGGCAAAAGACCTGAACTTTCATTTGTCGTACTTCGTGTTGGACACCACAGGCCGCCTGCAGACGCCTGACGCGTTCGGGGGGCCAGGCCTGGAACCTGCGCGCTGCCCTGGGCTCCGGTCCTGAAGACGAGGGAAGCCTGTGCTTTGAAGTCAAAGCAAGTTCTCTGTGAGCTCCAGGCTGACATTCAGGAGTATGGAGACGACTAGAGGTTTCTGGACAAACTGCCCAGCAACTCCCGACACCCCGAGCACCTCGCTCACTCTCCCTGGTCAGCCCCATTTCTGGGCCTGGTCTGGGTCTCCCTCCCCGCCCCCTGCCCCGGGCCTTCCGGGTGCTTCTCTGTTCAGCTGCCGCCAGCACCCCGATTTCTGTCGTGCCCTGAGATCCGTCAGTCACCCTGCAGGTGCTTCCATTCACCCTGTTAACCCTCATAGAAAAGTCGGTCAGAAAAAAAATAAAAAAATAAAAAATAAAAAAAAAAAGAAAAGTCGGTCAGGTGAGCTTCAACGGGAGAACCCTGGCCCCCATCTACGCACAGCCCGGAGGCCAGGAGACACAAAGTTGGCCTGGGAGCGGGGGACAGGACCACTGATGCTTTGGGACCTGCTCCCCCAGACTGAAGGCCGAACTCAGTCTGGGTGCAGAACCAGGGGGAGTCTGGCCTCTGAGGAGCCCCCATCCAGCTCCTGCCATGATGCTGCTGTTGGGGCTGGTGCCCCTCAGATGTGACCTGGGGTACCTGCACACCGTGGGAGGCAGTAGGGCCTCTCCCCCCTCCCCTCCCACCTCTGCTCCCAGCCTGCCTGGGCCCTGCTTGCAGGTGCTGGGAGCTGGCACCCTGCCAGGGGTCAGCAGGCTGCGAAAGTACCGCGGAGCAGGACCCTCTGTGCGGGTGTTTGGGCCGGGACCGCCCGACTGTGGGGAATACAATGGGCCCCAAGAGTCCCTTCTGTCGCAGGCGGACAATGCCTGCTTTCTCCTTCCCTGAGGCCCACGTGGGGTGCAGACCAGAGGGAGGGAGAGAACCTTGCAGTCCCCAACAGCTCAATCATGGGACCAGCGGTCTCAGGCCCAGGATGGAGCACTGTGTGCAGAGCCCAGGGCAGAGGAGGGTCCGATGCCGTGCAGGACCTCGGGCCTGGGCCTCCGGAGGGCATACGGGTGGGCCTGTGCCGCCTGCACCCCGTGACCACACCCAGCTCCTCCTCCATCCCCTGGCTTCTGGCCGTCTCTGCTGGAGAAACTGACGGCTTTGGGACTTTCCGGAGAGTTCTGCTCCTTGCAAGCCTCTCCTTCACCCAGGCTCCCTGTGAAAGCCACGCCCCAGGCTTGCTCCTTCTTCCAGACTCCTTGCCAGAGCTCGTTAATCTCTACAGAATCACCCGGTTCAGTTGAGCACCTGCAGGGGAATTAACAAGACTCCGGAAAAGCCTGGGTTTGGGTTTGGGATTTTATTTTGAACCCTGTCATGGTGAGATAAAGTAGGCGAATCCTAACAAATTCATCTAAGCAGCCACCGGGCAGAGCAAGTGCTGTAGGACTGTGACACAGGCCTCCCCAGGAGACTAGGTGAGTAGAATTCTCGGTGTGCACGTCCAACCTGGCCTTGAAATTTCTTACAGGCCAAAAAGGGTTTGGTGGATGGGGGGGAAGCTGGGGCACCAGCCTGGGGCAGGAGGGCAGTAGGGAGGCTCTGAGGAGGTGGCGCTGGATTGGGACTGGGGGGTGCTTTACATCACAGACCTGGGCATGACATCGATAAATCTTAAGAGGTAAAGTGTTTAAAAATAAGATTTAGCACAGGGACACTTGGGAGTTTGTTCCAGATCAAAGAACGACCAGCTGGAGTTAGCAGAAGCCTGTGGAGAGAGCAAGGTTTCCTCTGCCCCCCCCCCCCCAGCCTGGGGTTGGGCAACCTGCTTCCCTGAGAAAACAGGTTCTGCCTCCATGACCCCACGCTTCACCTTCCTGTTCCCTGACAACCTTCTAAATCTGCAGGATTCTGTTGGGTGATTAGTTCAAGATCAAGTGTGACTATAACACATGGAGACAAACAGGAAGGAAAAGGGACATGAAGGACTCTGGAGCGGGGCAGACATGCCGCCCGGGGTCCCACCCCGGATCCAAGGGCTGGTGCGCAGAGTGAGTGCCCGTGGGCCTGATGGCAAAGGACAACAGTGCTCCGTCCCTGCATCCGTCTGCCATGCAGGGATGGGGGAATGCGGAGTGACGTGTGTGCAAGCTCCTGCTCGCACATGGCCGGGGAGCAGTCTTTCTGGAAGCTCAGTCCTCAGCCTGAGAAGGGAGGTGGTTCCCACTGAGACTGGAAAGATCCTGGGTCCTTGCAGTCACCCTTTACCTTCTTTGCCCGTGGCGCCCTCTTCTTCTCCAAATTCCTCCTTTTATTTTTCATCAGAGAGGAGCATCCAGCAAGTTTTCATGAAAATTCAATGAATGAATAATAAAAGTTCAAGTATTAATTTAGGTGTATCAGCTGTGAAAAAAATAGCCTACTCCACTTCAAAGGGCTTTTCGCGGGTGCCCAGAGCTCCATCTTCCTGCCACTGTGGGTCAGAGGACTCATTTCCTCAGAATTTATTTGTAACCTTTGGCTTCTGGCTCTGCAGCCACAGAGCTGAGCTGGATCCAGCGCACTCCTACCAGAACGCAAGGCAAAGGGATCCGGCTCAGGGAGGCCCACTGGCACCATCTACTGGGCCAGCTGCTTCATCTGTTCCTGAAGGAGCACGGCTCCTTTTATCGTATTTTATTTTATTTTATTTTAATAAATTAATTTTTATTGGTGTTCAATTTGCCAACATACAGAATAACACCCAGTGCTCATCCCGTCAAGTGCCCCCCTCAGTGCCCGTCACCCATTCACCCCCACCCCCCGCCCTCCTCCCCCTCCACCACCCCTAGTTCGTTTCCCAGAGTTAGGAGTCTTTATGTTCTGTCTCCCTTTCTGACATTTCCCACACATTTCTTCTCCCTTCCTTTATATTCCCCTTCACTATTATTCATATTCCCCAAATGAATGAGAACATACACTGTTTGTCCTTCTCCAATTGACTTACTTCACTCAGCATAATACCCTCCAGTTCCATCCACGTTGAAGCAAATGGTGGGTATTTGTCATTTCTAATGGCTCAGTAATATTCGTATTTTAACCTGCTGCTTCACTTCCTCTGTGGACAGGGCTTCGATGTATGACTGCTATTTTTGTACCAACTGCATTGCGCTAGAACTCACAGGCCATACGGTTCACCCATTTCAAGTGTGCACTTCTAACGCCTTTTAGGATATCAAACTGTGTGGCCACTGCCACAATTTCAGAACATTCCAGAAAGAACCCCCTGCCCACCAGCACTCACTCCTCCCAGCAGCCCTAGGCAACCAGCAAGGCGCTCTCCGTCTCAGGATTTGCCTCTTTTGGACACTTCACATCCACGGACTAGTGCATCTGTGGTATCTTATGTCCGGTTTCCTTCACTCCGTGCGGTGTGTTAAAGGTTCTTTGGTGTCGTGCATGTGTCACTCTTTTGTCAGTTTTCATGGCTGAGCAACATTCCCTCGCATGCAGACACCACATCTTGTTTATGCACTCCTCCATGGGCGCTCACTTGCACGAGCTCTACCTCTTGGCTGCCACGAAGAACTCTGCCCCAGGTCATCCTGGACAAGTTCCTGTATGGCCCACGTGTCGTCACTTCTCTTGAGCGTGTACCTAGGAGTCGAACTGCAGGGTCATACGGTGACTGTGTGTAAGCATTCGAGGGCCTGGCAGCCTGGCTTCCACAGCAGTGCCTCAGTTTACATCCTCCCCATCGGTGCAGGAAGGGGGCACTCCCTTCACATCCCCACCTATGCTTGTTCTTATCTCACTTCTTGATTTTAACTGACGCTGGCTCATGGGTGTGAAGTGATTTTCACTCCCTGATGCCTAATGATGTTGAGCATCTTTTCATGTGCTTATTGGCCGTTGGTATATTTTCTTTGGAGAAATGTCTGTTCAAATCCTTTGCCCATTTTTAAACTGGGGTAGTGTGTATTTTATTAGGGAGCTGCAGTTTCTTGTGCTGTCGACACAAGTCCTCACCTTGACCCTGCTCATGCCCAGAACCAGAGGCCAAGAGGAAATCGTCTGAAATGGTTCTGTTGTAAAAATGTGCAAAAAACCCAGAAGGAAGAGCTGGGTGGGAAGAAGAAAATTAGTGTAGCTCTGACCTTGCTCGGCCTACCCTCATCTGGACCTAATTTTTCTGCTCTGGGCCCAGCCTGGAGCCTACTGTGGGGATGGAGGGATGGCTGGGAAGTGGCCAAAGGGGAGGGCAGAGGGGGGAGGCTGGGGTCTCAGGCACATCCCATGTTTACAGGCAAAGTAAGGAAGGGCCGCTCATAGACAGAAGCAGAGGGGCCAGAAGGATTTGCAGGAAGACCAGAGAGATGGGCTGAGGTTCCTAGGCAGAGAGAGTGGCTAACAGTATCTAAGTGATTGCTAGGGCCTCTGTGTCATTTATCACAGCATGGCTTATGAGTTTCTTTTGAACATCCTCTACCTTCAGGAGCGGACGGGAGAAACCCACAATACCACACAGGATTGTAGAGAGTCCTTAATATATATATATATATATATATATATATATATATATATACATTTTTTTAAGATTTATTTATTTGAAAGAGAAAGAGAAAGAAAAAAACCGGGGCCAGGCACAACGGAGGGAGAGGGAGAGATAACCTTGAAGCAGACACCTTGCTGAGCACACAGCAAGCCATGGGGCTCGATCCCAGGACCCAGAGATCACGATCGGAGCTGAAATCAACAGTTGGCCACTTAACCGATTTAGCCACCCAGGTGCCCCCAAATATTTTTTTCCTAATAAACTGGTTGATCATACAAAAAAAGTTTTATTTTGTTTTGAACTGCTTCACACTAATCTCTCTTATTGCCCTTACCACCTAGGGTATAGAGTGCAGACTTCTCTTCTCAGAAAGAGAGCCAATAGGAAAGATTGCATGGCAGGGAAAACCTAAAAGAGAAACTTGGTGCTAAAAGACAAACTTGTTTACTTGATTCCTGTCTTATTGAAATTATTTTTAAGATTTTATTTATGTATTCATGAGAGAGGCAGAGACACAGGCAGAGGGAGAAGCAGGCTCCCTGCAGGGAGCCCGACATGGGACTTGATCCCAGGACCCCGGGCTCCCACCCTGAGCTGAAGGCAGATGCTCAACCACTCAGCCCCCCAGGCATCCCTTATTGAAATTCTTGAGCATTGAAAATGAAGCATTTTGGTGGAGACATAGCAAAAAATATATTTCCTGTTCTACTACTTTTGTTATTTTAGTCCAAATGGCTGGAAGCAGCTGTGTCAGATAAAGTAAGCTTTCTTGAAGTATTTGGAAGGTTAGAAGTCCCAAATCTGGTGTTTATTTTTGCTGTCTCTCCCCTGTGGCCCACTCCAGGCATCCTCTCTTCTTGCCTCCCTGCTGCTGCTCGAGGGAGGCATGTTCTCTCCATCCTCACCACCTGCCGGGCTGTTGGAGAAGGTCTTCCAGTACATTGATCTCCACCAGGATGAGTTCGTACAGGTAGGAGAAATGGTACACGCAAAATGCTTGCATGACAGACCCTTTGGGTATCTGGGTAAACGAAGCCTTATTTGCGGGGAGGTGTGGATTTCTTTTTTTATTTTCTTTTCTTTCTTTTTTTTTTGCCTGAAAACTTAAGTCCATTTAAAATGCCTGTGGCTCCTCAGTGAGTTAAACGAGTAAATATTTGTCAGATTGAGGGAAGAGATCCTCTGCAGCCTTTCCTCCTAGAGAAGGCCTTCCTAGCATGTTGGTCAGACTGTCTGAGCAGTGATGATGCCCGAGGAGCCCACACTGGCCCTGGACCGTCCTCAGAATGCCCATTCCCCCTCTAGAGGGGCCTTTGCTGAGGTCCCTTCCTGCAAGGCCTGCTGAGACACCGCCCACCCCCAGGACACCCTCCCAGAGCCATTCCACCTGCCTACAGCCCGCTTCACGTCCAGAGTTCTGCCAAGTTCAATGTCAACGCTGTTAGGTAGCCCTTGCACAACACACACTTTGTCTCCTCCCTTGTAATCCTCTAACTCACTACATGGCAAACTGCACATGGTGTGGGTGCACATCTTGGGGGGGAAGAGCTGGAGCCTGAGGGCGAAGACCAAGTGGAGAGGGAGGCTGGGAGCTGAGGGATGGGGGCAGGGAAGGACTGTAGCCACCGCCAGCCTGCAAGTCCCCTTCTCCTCCGCTGACCCTCTTGTCCCCGGGCACATGGTATGTCCACTGCAGCCCGGGGACTGTGTGACATGTCACGGAGTTTTGGACCCTGAGCCCCCATGCCCTGTGTGGCACACAGTTGGTGCTCAGTCTGTGCATACTGGATCAATCAGCCCCTTCTGGCAATATTCATGTGCGGACCACTGAGAAGAGTTCATGTCTCGTGCTTTCACACAGAGCTGAATGGCCAGGCCGCTGGTCCTACACTTGACCTTCACGGGATCTTTCCTGAAACTCTTGGGCATATTTACTTGACATAATGCCTCCTGGGTTCTTGAAGCCCATGTGGGGACTCCACCTGTAGGTTGGAATTAGCAGTGGAGAGGGACAGTGTGCGGTGGAGATGTATGAATTTAGGTCTTTGAGCCAAAACTCTTCTTTCTGCAACTTCCTCACATGTATCCAATCTGTTACCTTTAGGGATTCCTTGACAGCATCTGCTCTGTAAATTCCAGCTTAAGAGTCTAAAAATCAGTACTCCTTAAGGTTAAATTCATTTCTTCATAATAAAAACAAAAGTGCTACACCCAGCAAAGAGATCAAACTAAAATAAATTGGGGAATCCAAGATCAGTCACCCAAAGTATGTGTGGTTTTTGTTTTTTTTTTTAATATTTATTTATTTATTATTTATGATAGACATAGAGAGAGAGAGAGAGAGAGAGAGAGAGAGAGAGAGGCAGAGACACAGGCAGAGGGAGAAGCAGGCTCCATGCACCGGGAGCCTGATGCGGGACTTGATCCCGGGACTCCAGGATGGTGCCCTGGGCCAAAGGCAGGCACTAAACCGCTGAGCCACCCAGGGATCCCCAGTATATGTGGTTTTTAATAAAAATGGTGGCTATCCCAATATGAACAACTCAAGCAACAATAGTGGAATGTGATTGATGATTATTAATCTCCAATATTAGTTGGTGTTTATTGAGTGCCCAGTAGGGGCCAGGCATTGAGCTAAGTCTTATGCACATTGTCTAATCCTCGTGGAAAGGAATGCTTGTTTTCTTCGATGGTTCCCCTCACTTTAGTGGCCAGATGTGTGTGTTTCCCACACATCAAGCAACTGTCTAGTTCTCTGGACACCAAAGGGGCACCCCACAGTGCAACTCCCTCTGACACCCCCTGCCTGGTGTGAGCATCACCCTCCTACCCTCAGCGCCAGTGGGGGATGCCAAGTCACACGTAGGTAGGGAAGCCCCTGGTTACTTACATATTCCAAATTGGGGCTCCCACGAACCCACTCAGGGCCTGTCATTTGCTACAGCAGCTCCAGAACTCAGGAAAACAATTATGTTTGGAGTTTGTTATGTAATTAAGGACATGATAAAGGGTAGATGTGAGCAGCCTGATGGAGAGGCACACAAGGCAGGGTCTGGAAGCAGCTTCTGTCCCCCTGGGGTTGAGGCATGCCACCCTCTCAGGCTATAGTCACCAACCTGGAAGATCTGTGAACCCCATACTTTCTGGGGTGCTTGTGGAAGCTTCATCATGGAGGCAAGATGATTATTAACTAACCTACAGCTCCTCTTCCCCACCCAGAGGATGCGGTGGGGGCAGGGAGCCCCCAGCTTCTAATCACAGCTTGGTCTTTCTGGTGAGGCAGCCCCCACCCCGGAGCCCACTAGAACTGCCCCATTAGAACACAATATGCTCCCGTCTCCCAGGAAGTTCCAGGGAGTTAGGAGCGCTGTGTCGGGAACCCAAGACAGAGACTGAATCTCTGAACAAAACATGCTCCTAGCACCTTTATCACATATGAAGTTAGAGGTCATAGGGGCTCTGGCCAAGAGCTCAGGACAAAGATCAACATGTGTATTTCTTGCGTGACAGTATCACACTCACAGTAGCCTGCAGGTAGAGAGCACCGCCCTCCTCGTGTGTAGGAGGGAGCTGAGGCTACCAGTTGAACACATGCAAATCCTACACCTCCAACGGGCGGAACCAGGTACAGAAGCCAAGGCCGCCTGCCTGCCTCGCCCTGGGGACACCGCCTCCCGGATTCGGGAGGTGCCAGACCTGCATGCAGAGGATGGTCTGGGGAGCCTGCCGCCCAGCTGAGGCCACTGTGTGGTTCCTAAAGTGAGTTTCGAGGACCAGAGGCCTCCAGGGCACTCGTGGGAGGCCCAGAGTCCTGCACTAGGGGCTGCCAGCCAGCTGCTCCCGGTTCCTAATAAACGGGAAGTGGTGTTTCCAGCGAGGCACAGGCCCGGGGCCTGGAAGGCAAACTTCGACCCTGCCTGTCCTGCCCTATTATTCTTCCTTCTTAAGCAGACGTGTCTACCTCTGGTTCTTGACCACAGCAGCCCACCTGGCAGTTACTTTGGAATATTGCGTGTTTGCCAACTCAGTCTCCAGCGCAGGTGGGGAGCGCTGGGCACCTGGTACCTCCTGCCCTCGAGTCATGGCTCGGTGAGGTGTGTCCCACCTAGAGTGGACGCTGGCCCCCCTCAGGCAAATCACCTTGTCACCTTTCCTTCCAGACGCTTAAGGAGTGGGTGGCTGTGGAGAGTGACTCGGTCCAGCCCCTGCCCCACCTGAGACAAGAACTCTTCAGGATGATGGCCCTGGCGGCAGAGCAGCTTCGGTGCCTGGGAGCCAGCGTGGACTCCGTGGACTCGGGTTTTCAGCAGGTGCCGGACGCCCCCTCCCCGCGACGAGCTGTCGTTTCTGTGCATCGGCCATGCCTTCCCTTGGGCGTGGCAAGACTGGGACCTGCTCCCATCCGATCCTCCACAGAAATGCCCCCATAATCTCAATTCCCAATAGGGCTAAAAAAAAAAAAATCTTGTCCCAGACAAGTCGGCATTACTGATTTCTCGTGGTGTCGGGGCAGAGGGGCAGGCGAGAGCGGATGGAGTGGGCGAGCAGAGCCAACCTTTCAGAAAGACCCCCCCTTTCCTGTACTAGTCTCATCCTTCACATGTGGTTTAAATTTTTCTAAACTGTCCCTCCCTTATGTTCACATGTACCTTTCTCAAAGGATCTGGTCTTTCATCAGAATCCCCGCTTATCGCTGTGTCCCGGTGATAAAGGGCAATCTTTTCATTTAAGCACCGGTGGTGCCTCCTTCAGCACAGCTGAGTCTCCCCAGTGGCATGTGTTTTCCAGAACCATGTCCATCTAATTTAAGCCACCTAAGTCTGAATTCATATCGAAGAATTTGCTCAATTAAATTTACTGTTTGTCACTATGCATCCAAGGAAGCACTTTACTTTTAATTATCTATTACATTTTAATTCAGTGTCTCATGGCACCCATTTTAGAGGTAGATAAAGTGATGATTAAAAGAATTATGTGGGCACGACAAAAACCCAAGGGTAGAAACAGGACTCCTGGTGTCATGTCTGAATTTTCTGGGAGAACTAAATAACATTTTTTTTAATGTGATGTTTTTGTTTGTTTGTTTGTTTGTTTGTTTGTTTCTTTTTTTTATTTTGCAGCTGCCTGATGGTCAGACTCTCCCAATACCTCCCATCATCCTGGCTGAACTGGGGAATGATCCAAAGAAACCCACTGTGTGCTTCTATGGCCACTTGGATGTGCAGCCTGCTAGACGGGAAGATGGGTGGCTCACAGACCCTTACACACTGACAGAGGTGGATGGTCAGTGGCACATCAGAGCTGGGTTCTTTGCAGATAAGGGACTCCCCACAAGGCTTAGGTATTGAAGATGTGACTCCTGTCCCCAGCTCCAGGACTTACGCTGTTTCTTGTTAAGAATGAACAGAATACTACCCGTTTCACAGTCCACCAGCTGTCCAACGAGGCTGGCTTTTTTCTCATTTGTGAAAGACCTATGCATAAGTGATGCATGCCCCTGGGCGAATTGACTCCCATGATGGCAGTCCTTGGGAGGAAGAAGTTGTCTAGGTCACACATTTTCCTTTTTTAAAATACTAAATGTAATTATGTTTTTTTAAAGAAAAGAAGAAGAAAGGTTAATGGAGATACACTCATACCCTTTTTTCATTCTTTTACTAATTATAAAATCTTGAAATGAGAGAGGCTATGTTACATGACATCCTGCAACAAATCCTCAGGTCTGTTTCAATGAACTTGGATAAAATAGCTAATTCCTGGTAAGGCCAAAGGGATATGCATATTTCAAATTAGTTTATATTATCTGATTAGCTGATGGCCATACTGTTTGTACATAAGAAATCAGACTTTGTGACCTTGGAGCAAGATTTGTGCCTGGAAAAATAGGAAGCACTATTAAAATGATTTCCATAAAACAACCTTTGTTTTTAACTCACTCAACTTGGCAGAGGTATCTGTGCTTTTCTAAAAATTCTTCCCTCATTTTTAAAGGAAAACTTTATGGACGAGGAGCAACAGACAACAAAGGCCCTGTTTTAGCATGGATTAATGCTGTGAGCACCTTCAGAGCCTTGGAGGAGGTAGGGAACCAGCCATGTTTGGGAAGGGATGATGTTGACAACAGTGACTGTGAGGACAATGATGATAATGACGATGTTGGTAGTGATGGTGATGATGACAGTGATGACAATGATGACGGTGACAATAAAGGTGATGGATAATGACGATGGTATTGACAATGGAGGTGAGGATGATGATGACGACAATGATAATGATGATGGTGATGAGGACAAAAACCATAATGATGATGATGATGTTGACAATGATGGTGAGGGCAGTGGTGACAACAACAATGATGATGGTGATAATTATGACAGTGATGATGAGGACAATGACAATCATGAAAGCGATGATGACTAGGATGATGAGAATGACAACAGTGTCAATGAAGGTGATGACAATGACTATGATGGCAATCATGGTGATGATAATGACAGTGAAGGTGATGGCAATGACAATGACGATGATGACAACGATGAAGATGATGACAACTTCCTTCTCTCCTTCTATTCCTCCTTCCTACCTCCTCTCTCTCTATTTCTTCCCTTCCTTCCTTCCTTCCTTCCTTACAAGGAAGCAAGCAATATTTATAAGAAAGTTCCCATATAAAGGCCAAAATCTGCTTTGCTTTTTAACTTTCCACTCTGAAACGTACATAATCACAAACAAAGCATGAGAAATGTTCACTGCTGTTGGACAAATCAGTTGATCTCTCTGAGTCTCATTAACCTAATCTGTGAACTAGGAATAGTTATTTCTGCCTCAGGAACCTGGCATGGAGTAGGTAAGGTAACACATAGAGGAACCCCAGTGCCTGTGAGTGTGAGGCCCTTTATGTGGGTGGGCTTCTTCTTTTCTGGTGCCCACTGTTCTTCCATCTTCCCCTCTTCTCCTGTGTTGCTAACTGAGCGCTTGAATACACCTCACACCACTGGGTTAGTTAACTAAGAGGCAGACAATTATTAATACCCATATCGCATAGATAGGGAGGTGAGTGGCCAAGAGGTAAAATGACTTGTCCCAGGTCCCTTGTATGTCAGTGACAGAGAAGACACCAAAACTGAGGCCTGGCAGTTGGTCTGTCTTCCTTCCTTAACACATAGTGGTTACTGGTGTGTATTTCATTAATCACATTTTACCAGAAAATTTTTAAGCTTTCCAACTACGTCTCAGCAATTGTTTTCTAGTTAAATGTTAAAAAGAGCTTTCAAATATTAATATATCAGAACTTTAGCTTCACTTCTTAAGACACATAGAAATAAATGTGTGCAAGGGATACACTTGAACAAATCATTATCCCAAAATGTCCTTAACCAACTGAATGACCGAAGGTCACTTACTTTCTAATATATAATCCTCCACTCATCCTGCCTTTGTTAATCTTTGGTGAGTCAATCCCACTCATTAAAACTAATTAGTATGTTTGTGCTATCATTTATCTGAATAGAATTACTTCTAGAGTTCTCCTGTGTGTGTTTTATGCTCTAGGAAGACTTTGACCTTCCCTCTCAAAGATATGAAGTTATAAATTATAAAGATACAAAAAGATCAAAACCAAATGGGGGAAAGGCACATTGTAAAAATTTTAAAGGAGCTATTCTGTGCCCTAATATTAACCAGAGGAAAAACTCAAGTTCCATTTTGCTGTAAGATCAAAGCTTTGAATAAGTTAAAAGGCAGATAGAACTCAAAGCTGAAAAATAACAGATACTTGAAATAAAAATTATCCTGGGGCTTAAACATTAGACAGTCTTTCAAAGGAAAGAGCTCTCATTCATCATACTCAGAATTATGAGGACAGAAAAGAGATTTGTAATTGAATAACCTTTCTCGAAAGGTTCCTTCTGGGGAGAAGGAGGAAAGCGTCTGTCTCCGAGGAGGCCCAGCAGAGCTTCGCAGCGTGGGTATGGCTTTTCCTGCAGGAATTCTTCCCTGGAATCATCCTTTAGGGTCCACATGGAATCCAGCAGGGTCATGCTGGAGGCCAGACACCAGGTCTTCCCTTGTATTCTCCTTCACAGTCTTGGTTATAACTCCTTTGCTGTGAGCGGAGCTGTGGGGAATGTGGACAACCCGTACATTGAATGTGTGTAATAATTAATGTATTTATGTCACATGCAAACTAATTCTGGATCTGAAAAAGATGAATGGGCAAGTCGTGCAATTTTTCTGACAGAATGGTTTGTCCTGTTGTTCATTTGATTCAGGATCTCCCTGTGAATATCAAATTCATCATTGAAGGGATGGAAGAAGCTGGTTCTGTTGCCCTGGAGGAACTGGTCAGAAAGGAAAAGGATCGGTTCTTTTCCAATGTAGACTACATCATAATTTCAGATAACCTGTGGCTCACCCAAAGGAAGCCAGCCCTCACTTACGGGACTCGAGGGAATAGTTACTTCAGGGTGGAGGTATTTGCAAGCCCCCTAAGGTGGAGGGAGGAGTCCATCCTGGGATCTTGGCAGGAAGAGAGAAAGCTCTTGGGAGAGCAGAGTTCTGACCTGGAGACATGGCCCTGGGGCCCACAGGTCTCGGGACTGGGGGATTCCAGAAGCTTCCCACACCCTGGGGCCGTTCTAGGATTCAGGGATCTGTGACTCAAACACCAGAAGGCTTAGGAGGCATGGCTGTGGAGTTTGGGGGTGAAAAGAGCAGTGCATGGGGGTGAGGAGACTGCCTGGTCAGGGGCTGGGCTGCGGTGCCCTGGGGAGGAGCTCCAGGTGCACAGATGGTCGGGGGGAGGGGCAGGGGTGCTTCTTCCCGAGCCTCATCTGTGCAGGTGCACAATGGCTTTGCAGAGAGAAGACTTCCAGAACATTTGTCTGTCTTGCTGTAGTTGGCCTCTGGGTGTTCCACTGAGTAGGAAGTTTGCTTACCTGCCGAGGAGCGATTGCTGGAAGTGGTCGCCATGCAGAATGGGTGGGAAGGCAGATTGGAGCACGATCAAGTGTCAGGCGGGATTCAGGGTGTAGAGTCCCTGTGCCTATGCAGTTGGGTGATTCTTAGCAGCTATGCTCAGTAGCCAGAGATGGACAAGCAGGCGGGGTTGCTGCAGGGTTGACTGAGGTCATTTTATGGGAAGTGAGGGAAGAAGAAGGAAAAAGTGAAGCACAGTACTGACACAGACAGGTTGAAGCAATGAACAATGTGGGGTCAGGGGAGACAGGAGGACAACATGGGGGGAATTTGGGATGGGTCAAGTGAGGCCAAGAGCAGGTGGGGTGCAGGAAGTGACAAGAATGGGTGAAGGGGGATGAAGTTGGGAGTAGAAGGTGGGATAAGGCAGCTTAAGGTTTCAGAGGTGGGGCTCTGCAAACCCCAAAGTGCTTTAGTTAGTATGATCGCCCAGTGAAACAAAGGTCTTAAGCTGAAGTGACTGAACAGGCGATCCATCTGGCAGCGCTTTAGAGATGGCCTGGAGCTGGTGGGGGACCAGCCAGGAGGGAAGACAGAAGGAAGGAACCAAAGGGACAATTTAAACAAAACTCGTTAGGAATTGGTAGTGTATTGGATAAGGTGTGCACAGAAGTCAAAGATCATTTTAAGGCGACAGATTTATAGGACTGGGGTCACTTCTTGTTTTGGAAGTGGGCGGGCTGATAGGGAGTAATCATAGGAGAAGATGCTGAATTCCCTCCTACATCCATTGAATTTCAGACATTGGGAGCATAGCAAAGTATTATGCACCACCAGCAGCCAAAATCTTTAGGTCAAGTGAGTAGGTGAAAGGTCAGCCCTACAGGGATGAGTGTGTGTGGTGTGGAGACAGTAACTGAAATCCAGGGAGGCAGTTCTTGAAGTTCTGTGTGTAGAGGAAGAATGAGCCAGGGCCTGAGCTCTGGGGTGGGAGGCTGGGAGGAAGTTACAAGTGGAGACAACAATAGAATTATAAGAAAAGAATAAAGAGAAGACGGTTTCTGGGAGGAGGGTTGAGTGACAGAGGATGGGCTACCTGGACCACTCAGAGAGGGGACTGCTGGCCCCAGCAGTGCTGTCTTAGGGGAACAAATGGGTACAGAAATCAGTTTTGGGGATTCAGGAAAGAATGAGACTGAAGACATGGGAGGAGTAGATGCTCAAACTCGTGTGACTGGGAGGCACCCACCCAGTCCTGGGGGACAGTTCATGGGGCTGTGCGCCACCACGTGAACGCTATCGCCAGAGCAACCACAGAGGTAAGTGCCTGTCTTTTCTTTCTCCTGTCCTATAGGTGAAGTGCCGAGATCAAGACTTTCATTCAGGAACCTTTGGTGGTATCCTCCATGAACCAATGGCTGACTTGGTTGCTCTTCTTGGTAATGTCTTATTTCATTTCACTTAAAAAAAAAAAAGATTTATTTATTTATTTGAGGGTTGGGATAGAGGCAGAGGAAGAGGGAGAGAGGATCTCAAGCAGACTCCCTGCTGAGTGTGGAGTCTGACATGGGCTTGGGGCTCCATCTCTTGACCCTGAGATCATGACCTGAGCTGAAACCACAATTCGGATGCTTAACTAATTGAACCACCCAGGCGCCCCTTCATTTCACTTTTTAAGCATCATGGAACCTACTAGAATGCATTTCTGTTTGACTCCATGCCACTCTCTTCCCTTGGCCTCCAAGCCAGTTCTGAATAAGGGTGGAGTAGAAGAAAAATCATAGTCTTAGCTTTCCCTCCTTTGGCTAAATGTTCCTTAGGTTTATTAGGTCCACGTTACATTTGCTGATGGACCGAAGCTCTTCCTCAGTCCACCCCATTTTCTTTTACTGGGTATTGTGATCTGGCCATACTCGGGGGCAGAGAGAGCCCTCTGGGGAAGCATCTGGAGGAAGCATCTGAAGCAAAGGCTCCAGCACCATTTGGCTTCTGTTTCCAGTTCTGTGGCCTCAAGTGGCACAGAGAGGCCATCGGTTTGCTCGTCTCTGTCTGCTCCTCACCTTCTGTGGTGTGCCCGGAGTTCACAGGCAGAAGTCACGTGTATGTGTATGCTTTTCTAGAGAGCCAGTTTGCCCACCCTGACCACCTCGATTCATCTTGTAGCTCTTGCTCGCATTTAGGCTGGATCCTGGGAGTGAAGGAAGCTGCGTCTTCGGGAGCCTCACTTGGAGGAGCCCCTTTTACAGTCCTGGCAGGGACCCTGCACTTTTATGTTCATCATTTGGTGTTTTTTTTTTTTTTTTTAAAGGTTCTCAGGGAAGCTTCAGCCCCACAATACTTGGATCTGTCTCCTTGGCATAAAGGGTACCTTTATGCAAATTTTACCACATGTCCCTTTGGGGCAGACAGTGCCAAAAGAGGGCATGTATTAGCAAAAGTCTCTTGTCTTTCTGTGTTGACACAGCTTTACCTCTGCCCCACTCGCTTGCATCCCTTTGGCCTTGGCAGTCTCTGACGGGGCAACTGGGCCACCTGTTGGGAGCTGTCCTCAGGGTCTTCAGGACCATCTTTAGTTGTAGAGCTTTGTGCTCCTTCATTCTCCAAAGTGAATAATGAAATCTGTGTGTCTACCTGTCATGTGTGATCTAACTCTGCAATCTATCTTTCATTTATCTCCTATCCGCCTATTCTTTCCATCTACTTAACTACCATCAATTTCTTCCTTTGTGGCCTTCTAGTTTTCCTAAAATATAATTCTTGGGCAATATTCCCCATACTGGACAATTTCAAATGGAATAAAACAATCCATTTTCCTTCAAAGTGTTTAAAATGTTTCCAAAAGAATTCAGATATCATACAACTCAATATTTTGAGGAGGAGGAGGGAAAGGGTTATGTTTCTGTTTTATCAGAACTAATTTTCTCTTCCATAGGAATGGCATCATCAGAAGTTTATGGTACATTTCAATCTCCCCCCAATAATGATTGCTGCGTTACATTCTCTTAGATGGTACGGTTTCACCCAGGCTTGGAATTCCACTTAGTCCTGCAAATGCATATGGCTCTGCTAGGAAAAATCAGATTGGAATCATGAACAGAATGAAAAGCATATGGTTTCACTTTCTTTAATTTTTGAGACAAATCAAATAATCCGTAACAAAGTGATTCTGGATTGGATCATCTATGTGGCTTTCATAGATGCTTTGTACAAAGACATTTCGTACATGCTTTGTACAAAGACCTAAGGGCATGGGGTTGAGCTTCGGCACTGATGACAGGCAGTAGCCTCTTGGCTCCTGTGCCTTCCATCAGGGCCACTGCAGGTTAGGATGTCCTGGGAGAGCTGGGCCTGTCGGGTCCTCCTGCATACTGGCAGGTGCCCTAAACATTAGTCAGGGAGCCTCCTGCTGCTGTGTGACCTTGTGCAACTTCCAATCTCTCTGTCCCCTATTCCTCATCTATAGATCCTGATAGCCAGGTCACTAACAGGTTATATGTGTTTATTGAGTGCCAACCGTGTGAAAGGCGCGGGAGTCTCCAACCGGGAGACACAGGGAAGGGTGATGGTGGGGGTGCAGATACCCAGTTTAATACCATAGTATTAAAATGTTAAATTCTGAGAGGACTCCTGGGGATCAGGATTACATTTGCTTCCTGTGTGCAGTTTTCAAAGGCACCACCCTCTGGGTCTTCTGTGCATTTCCGGGCTGGGCTCCTGGCCGAGGAGGAGGGGGAGAGGGAGGGGGAGGTGGAGGCGGTGGCAGCAGTGGCCTGGTTCAGGGGATCATGATTTCAAGTGGGAAATGAGGAGGGGGGTGGGGAGATGAACTCCTTCAGCAACATCCTGTTTTTTTTGGGAATGCATTCAGTGTTGAAAAACCCTGGCAAAGAAGTAGCAAGAAAAGGGCGTGTAAGGCAGAGGCCTGGCCAGCACGCCAGGCGCTTTCCCACCACTGGGTCCTGCGGTGACCTCTCGCAGCCCTCCCTGGAGCAACCCCTGCTGGCGGGTGGAAGGGGCAGGGAGAGGAGGATGTGCTCTCCTCTGCTCTGGGGACACGCATCTGCTGGCACTCTTTGCAGCCCGCAACTGGGAGGGCTGCCCTGCGCCCTAAGAAGACAGGATCCTGATGCGACTCCATCCTGGCCCCGGCCGGGCCAGCTGTGCTGGAGAGGTGCAATGAGTGTGTAGAAAAGCCACTCTGCTCAGACCCCAGCTTCACTTGCTAACGACCTCTGCCCCCCCACCCCCCACGGCAATACCTGCAGGGCCAGCTGGAATGATAGAGAAAATGTCTAGTCCTGGGTCGGGACATGGACGCTGAGCATCCTGGCTGCCAAAGTATTTCAGGTCTTACTGGTTGCCAACCTTGACCCTCCCAACACTCTCTTTCCATTGCCAAGGCTGCACAGACCCTCCCACACCACCTCTGGGGCCCAGCCATGCTGCTGCACTGGCTTTCCCGTGCCCCTGCCCCTGCTTGCAGACCCCCAGCTGTTTCTTTACCCTGGGTCTGTTCCAGCCGCATCACCAGCAGGGGCTGCGTCTCACCCACGTTTGCAGCTCTGTTCTCGCATCTGAGAATGTCAGCAGAAGTCGAGGGACAGGCACTTGAGGGAACACTCAGTGATGGTATTACTGGTGGCGCTTTTATGTTTGGTTTGGATTTTGCTGAGGGCACGGAGGGTGGACTGCAAAGCACTGACAGCCAGGCCCAGCCATTGGCACCCAACTTATTTTTTGACTTGAATTTTACAATGGGTTTGAACCATCTATTTACTATATTCTACACTTGTTTGGGCTAAATGCAGAGAATTCCACAGCTCAGTACTGCAGGGAGGCTTGTACCTGCACAGTGTGGTTGTAGACTTTTGGCTGATTTATGGGGGGCAGGGGTAGGGGCCAGGGAGGCCATGTTTAAGCCAGAACAGTGAAAACTTCCCTTCTCATTTTGCTGCCTCAGCACCTCAAAACTTGAGGTTTTGCTTTCTGGGATCATCTCAAAGTTCTGGGACAACCAGTATATACTGCCATTCCTGTTGGTTCTGGAAGGATGGTTACTTTGGATCCTGTTGTGTCTACACGGAGAGCCAAACTACCTACTGGTCAGCCCAGGGAGAGTCACATTTGTCATTTAGCCTATGCACCAAGAGATGGCGCTGTTGCTGATGAAAGGAGGTTCTTCAGGAATGGTCAGGGATCATCAGGTGCCTTGACCACAGCAGGTTCCAGTAATGAGGGGGCACAGCTGGATTCTCCCAGAGCCTGCGACCCGGGGCTTTGTAATTGTCCGCTGTGAGACCAAGATTTGAAAACATGGTGGTTCATGATGGTTTTTTGACATTGTCAAGTTATAGTCCCATTAAGAATGTGGAGCATAGGGCACCTGGGTGGCTCAGTGGTTGAGCGTCTGCCTTCAGCTCAGGTCATGATCTCAGGGCCCTGGGACTGAGTCCTACATCGGGCTCCCCGCAGGGAGCCTGCTTCTCCCTCTGGCTGTGTCTCTCTGCCTCTCTCTGTATCTGTCATGAGTAAATAAGTAAAATCTTAAAAAAAAAATAAAAGAATGTGGAGCATATTTTTTATGAAGTGTCTTTATTTGAATGAAAGGCCCCAGGTGGCCTGAGGATGAATTTAGATGCCCTGGATACATTTTTCACCATTTCTGCTAGTCTCTTTGCTACTTTGATAAGTATGTTCTGAAGGTAGTGAGCAATGTTCACTAAACCTCCGCTTCTACTTCCTCTGTAGATATTTGATGATTCCACCCCCACTTCTATTAATCCCCAAACTCCTTCCTAAATAACGGACTAGACTATCTGCTTATTCACTCTGAAGGCATTTGTGGTCATGATGTAGGCCTCCTAGACTAGACCTCAAGGTATTATGCTTTTGATCAAAGGTGAGTCTCTATCCTATGATAGTGTGTGTAGGGGAGAGAAGCTGAGAAGGAATGAGGATTTTTGGTTCCTCAGGAATGTCTGTATAGACCTATACATACGTATTTAAGATTTTTAATAATGAACATACATTGCATCTTAACTCAGGATAAAGCAAAATTTCAGAAAGAACCTAATTTGTGATACAGAAGGTGTAATTGAGAACTGGTGTAATGCAGGTAAGCCATCGCCTATGACCTTGTGTTTCCATCTCTCCATTGATGAGGTGGACAGTAAAATGGATCTGCCTCAGGCTCAGCCTGTGTGGGGACCAGCTGCTTCCTCCAGCCATCCCCCTGGAGATGTGAGTGGTGCCAGTGGCTCCGCCAGGGGGACCAGGGCCAGTCACGAGGCCCACTGTGGCCCCTGGTCCTGCTCCAGGCCCAGAACAGTCACTCACTCGTACCTTCTACCTGGCTTTGGTTGCAGGGAGCCTTGTGGACTCATCTGGTCATATTCTGATCCCTGGAATCTATGACCAAGTGGCTCCTCTTACTGAAGAGGAGAGAAAACTGTACAAAGCCATAGATCTGGACCTAGAAGAATACCGGAAGAGTAGCCGGGTTGAGAGATTTCTGTTTGACACCAAGGTATGGTCCCAGGTTGATGGCTAATGTGAAAGAGGAAAGGCAGTAATAAATCCTATTTTTCCAGTTCCTGATTTACTGTGGGAGGCTCATCTGCACATTTCAGAACTGAAAGCAGATGTGAATTCTGAGGCAGATTTGTCCTTTCACAGCCACTTATTTCCCTCAGGTCTAGAGCAACCCAGACTTTATCTGGGGTCCAACTGGCCTCAGGTGCATAGCCTTGGGGCAATCCCTCATTTCACAGACACGTTTTCTGGGGTTTCTTAGACTCAATCCCAGCTATCTCTGCTTCCTATCTCCTTAAAGGCTGAGAACAATCTGAGATTATTCCAGCCCCACACCCCTAATTGTTCATTTTAATAGAATTAAGAGCCTTAGGGACTAATCTGTACATTGCTACATCACTGCCTCAGGGTAGTCAGGAAACCATAGCCCAAAGCCATTCATTTCTGGCAAATTTGGATGTTTTCTTTCTCCTTCTTCTTGTTTTTACAACCTTTGCCTGCTATGGTGAAGGATGGTTGTGGCTGGTTCTGGACGGGGCTGCCAGGAGAGGGAGAACCAGGTGGAACAGAGGCAGTGGAGTTTATTATGGTGAAGTGTATCCCTTCCCCCGGACCATAAGCAGAGTTCTTTGCGGCCTTCTGAAAAAGAAAATGCATTTACTATGCAACTGAGTGTCGTAGTGATTGGGGATAGAAATTTATAATCAAGCCCCAAATTCTGAAAGCTCCTTTGCCATATATTAACTTCAGAGCTTGGGTGAGGAGGGGCCTGCATCAGTGGAGCAGGTTGGTTGGAGGTGGGGAGGGGACAGCAGAGGGTCTCAGGGCCCGAGGGGAAAGACTGCCTGTGTTATCGGTCCAGGCGTGTCTAAGGAAGGTGATAATTAACTTGTCATGAACGGTGGCAGAGATTTACAGGAGTGGGTGATACAAGCAATACATTTCAAAGAGTTTTAATCAAACATTCTTTTGTATAGTAAAATAATTTTATTTTAATTCAGGAGGAAATTCTAATGCACTTATGGAGATACCCGTCTCTTTCAATCCATGGGATTGAGGGTGCGTTTGATGAGCCTGGAGCTAAGACAGTCATCCCTGGCCAAGTTATAGGGAAATTTTCAATCCGTCTGGTCCCTCACATGAATACATCTGTGGTGGAAAAACAGGTAACAAATGTTCTGAGCGTCACATCCCACAGTGTAGTGAGCTATTCAGTTGTTAGTGCTGAAGTATCATTTCCCCCCCAATAAAACTGGAACAGATGTCAAGAAACCAATATAATTTTTGTTCAGTAAAAATCTCTTTCTGCAATTATACGCAATTACAGGAGTCAGATAAATAACCATTTGAGGTTGGAGTGATGGGAAGTATTTTTACATTAAACAGTTGACATAAAGGCAAGATTGGTTTACACACAGATGGAGAAGCTGACTGCCTATGGCCGCATGGAGCTGGAAAAGCTCAAACCCATAGTTAGTTTGCCCTTGTCTGAAATCAACACTCTGAAAGTAGCTGTTTTAATGAAAATGTTATCTGGAAGGAGTTATGTGTCTAAATTATCAACCTGTTGTCAGTTTACCTCAAGTTCAACAGAAAGAAGGCTCTGAATGAGTGAGCTCCAGGAATGCCTCATTCCAAATCTCTACAACCCCTTGACCTCCTTTATTGTCTTCTTAGCACTAATTACATCTTAAAATGCCCTCCTTCCCTATCTCAGTCCCTGTTTTTCTCCCTCTCTTCCCCCGTTTTGGATGCATCGTTTCTGTTTCTCAAAACATGGGTTCCATCAGGGCAGCCCCCTTGGTCTTGCTCACAGCTGTGTTCTCACACCTAGAACTGTTCCTGCCAACATGACAGGCATTCAACCAGTGTTTGTCAAAGGAATGAATGGGAGGAACGTTTCAGAGTGTGAGGAGTTTTTCTTGGGAGGATTTCCATGGTAGCCACTGGCCTGGAGCCCAGGGGACAGAGGAGGATGCTGACAAAAGGCTCCTTTACAGCTTAGCCTGGCATCACCGCCCCTCCCCCTTTGCAGAAATTTCCAAATGCCTAATGTTCCGAAAATAGTAATTAAGATCCTGACAAGTCCGAAAAGAGGGATATCCAAATTGAGAAGTTGTATTGTGTTTCACAATGACCACGCATTAATCGTCTGACACTGTGGTCAGAATGGGGCAGGCTCAGGGCTGAGGATTGGAGGGTCCCTGGGTAGAAGGGGTGTGGGATCAGGGTTTCTTTTCCTGCTGAAGGCCTCAATCCCAGAGCCCCTGCTCACTCTGTCCATCCTCTGTGAGGACGAGGGTAAAATCACAACACTTGGACCTAATGAGCTGGGATTTCAGTTTCTTGATGAAAGATTGCTGCATATTCACTGCATGAGAGAATAACTTGAAATTTTCTCTTACAACTGAAAATGTTCCTTTTCAGGTGAAGCAGCATCTTGAACACGTATTCTCCAAAAGAAATAGTTCCAACCAGATGGCTGTTTCTATGATGCTAGGACTACAGCCATGGATTGCAAATATTAAAGATAATCAGTATCTTGCGGCAAAAAGAGCCATCAAAACAGGTTAGACTTGTGATACTTGGAGTTGCCAGTTTACAGTGGGACCAGAGCGTGGTGTGTGGTGGGGCAGCGGAGAGGAGAAAGCAGGCACGGTCAGAATTTTCGTTCAGCTCTCCTTTGCCCGTTGGCTGTGTTACTGAATGTCAGCTACACTCCAGGGCTCTTTTTTTTTTTTTTTTTTTTAAACCACCAGGGCACTTGATCCACACTGTCTCCTGACCCCTGACAGCCCTCCCCAGTTGACAAAGTCTGTCTGGAAGAGATTAGGGAATTTGCTGAAGGGCACCCAGCTGGAAGTGGCAAAGCCAGGTTCATGTCTGGAAACCTGAATTTTGGGCAAAATGATGGTCTTGCAAGCCTCTGATACTTATGGAAATGATGGCCAACATATAAAAATGCCTTTTAAAAGGCTCAGGTGGATTTGCATGAAAGTAAAGGAAATCTGGGGTTAAAAATAAAGGAGCTAGGGGCGCTTAGCTGGTGCAGTCATCTAAAGGACTGACTCTTGATTTCGGCTCACGTCATGCTCTTGGTTGTGAGATTGAGCAGCCTGGGTAGCTCAGCGGTTTAGTGCCGCCTTTGGCCCAGCGCCTGATCCTGGAGACCGGAGATTGAGTCCCACGTCAGGTTTCCTGCATGGAGCCTGCTTCTTCTTCTGCCTGTGTCTCTGCCTCTCTGTGTCTCTCATGAATAAATAAATAAAATCTTTTAAAAAATCTTATTAAAAAAAAGGAGTTAAAATATAATGGAGTGAGAAGGCTGACCCTGGGTTGCCCTGTAGGATTTGTTCATCTTGGTCACAAGGAGGTTTGGGTTTTTAGGTCAGCAGAAGGTAGGGAATAGGAAGTGAGACTCACTATTTAAAGCAGGGCATCCCCCAATCACCCTTTATAGCTTAGCCTGGCATCACCTCCCCTCTCCCTTTGCAAGAATTTCCAAATGCCTAATGTGGTTAGGGAGGGGGCTGACCACAGATCCATCCTCACAGGGTTCGGGTCTTTAATCTCCACTCTCCATGTGGTCCCGTTCTGATGCAAACAGCCCCATGGCAGGCCACCTGGGATTTTTCACAGAGAGGCCTCCTGGGGATGCTCATTTTATAAAACTACCAAACACAAAAACTCAATTCCAGCCTATCTGACTCTGAAACCAGCGATGTTTTCAGAGCCACTCTGGAAGTAAGGAGGGCAGCATAGCTTCATTTGGAATTTCTTTGGTGGTGCCTATTTTGACTGCATATACTTCCAAGGCCTGGGCAGGGTCCTGTTGTTGGTGAGCACAGGACACATCCCTGGGCTCCAGCTGCCCAGGCAGGGAGAAGATCTATCCAGGCTCTTTGGCTTCTGCAGCAGGAAGGTGACACTGCCAATTGCAAAATAGAGGACTCTCTAAAAAGCAGGGGGACTTTCAGAAAAAGCCAGGTGGGGAAACACTATGGACTAATGGCACTCTCTCACAGGTGAGGCCTCAGGCCACATCCCTAACAGAGCACAGCTGGAATTGTAGGTCCCCACCACCTAGGAGCACTAACACTTGATCAGGGTTATCTGTACAAAGGACAGCGACATTAAACATTAGAGGACAGGTCTGAGACTTAGAGCCATACTTTTCTACATAATTATTCCTACTACTCCCATTTGTAGCAGTATTTTACCAGTAAAATTTGGTCAAGAAAGGAGGAAGAAAAGTTCTTAGGAAGGTAAATGTAATCCCAGCTGAAGAGTGATGTGTGATTGAAATGTCAAGGTCAACAGTAAAGCCCTGAAATATTCTTGCAGGAATGCATAAGGCACCTTGTGGTTTATTGTGTGTGAAACAAGTTCTTATAACAAAGCATATCATCTTTTCTAACATTCACACCCTAGTCTGTGGATAAAGAAGACATGGCATATTACCTTTGTGTCTTCATTTTATTTTGCATTTCCAATCCATCACTGACAACTCATCCTCTCGCCTGGAAGGCTTGAACTCACCACTCCTTAGACCCTAGGATATCCATTACATTTATTTCATGAGATACCTTGACAGTTAAGCACAAACACCACAACATTCAGGTGATAGTTGAATACAGCTGTTTATTTGTATACTGGTTACACCACCAAAGAAATCCCACTTTCCAAATATTTAATTCATGAAGCGACCATAAAAGTAGGTACATTGTCTTGTAATACTCCTGCCAGAAATGCATGACCTCTTCCAACCATGAGAAGATATCAAACAAGCCCAAATGAAGAGACACTTTACAAAGCAACTGATCAGAACTCTTCAAGAAGAGTCAAGGTCATGAAAGACAAGGAGAAACTGAGAAACTTTCACGTACCAGAGGAGAGTTAGAAGAAGTGACAAAACGCAGTGCAGGATTCTGGATTGGGTCCTGGAATGGAAAAAGGGAAGCACTGGTGAAATTCAGATAAGGTCTGAGTCTAGTTAATAATATTTTTCCAGTGTTAACTTCCTTTTCTTTAAGATTGTACGATAATTACGTAAGATGTTAACATTACAGAAAGTAAAGTAAGGAACATATGGGAGCTCTCTCTGTACTATTTTTGCAACTTTTCTATAAAATCTACAATTCAAAATACAAATTTTATTTAAAAAGTTTTTTTTTTGAAGTGGTTAATTATAAAGAATGCAACCATGGTTTTCTTCGTGACTCTACTGTCTTCAGAATATAAACTGCATGCTATCAAGAAGCTTACCTACCCCAGACACCAAAGTTAATGATTAAATAAAAACGAAAAAGGGAAAGATAAAGCCAACACTACACTTGAGAAGATTATGAGGGGTGGTCTTGTCATTATTTTATTCAAATGCATTCTTTTCCTGTGCTTCAGTGTTTGGAACAGAGCCAGACATGATCCGGGACGGATCAACCATACCAATTGCCAAAATATTCCAGGATTCCATCCAAAAGAGTGTGATGATGCTCCCGCTGGGTGCTGTGGATGATGGGGAGCACTCTCAGAAGGAGAAAATCAACAGGTTAGTGGATTCCTGTCAGGGGCCGATTCTTCACTGCTCAAAAGCCAGGTCTCCACCTGCTATATATTTTAGATTGCATTCACATCACCAAATCTTCCTATTTACATTGTAGGCGACTTTCCCCCATCACCTGAACCGAAGTAACAGTGTTTCTCTTTATTTCTTCCTTTGTTAGGTGGAACTACATAGAGGGATCCAAATTATTTGCTGCCTTTTTCCTAGAGATGGCTAGGCTGCATTAATAATGATGAACCTTCCAGCTTAAATCTGACCTACTGACAGATACCTTCTTCTGCACACCTGGACAGGAACAGAATCTAAGTAACCAGAGAATTTCAGTCCGGGAAATAATGCTTTCCTTCCCATTTAAAATGTTTTAGGACATTTGGACCAGAAATAAAATATCTTAAAGGCACAGACATTGGGAATGGTATACTGTCCCCATGGCACACCTTTCTAAAGTCACCGATACCTGCAACATCTCCCCCAGTTTGGCTCCAGGAGCCCCAGGATTGGACTCACTCTTTCCTTGGAGCACAAGGACATTCCTCCATTAGACTCTCCCTGGCAATTTGATAGGTCTGATCACACCAGTGTGCTTTTAGGTTCTGAGGTGCTCATGACACATCATCATTCCGTACAGTGTTTATATCAACCTTGCTTTTACCACACATTTCATTTATTAGTAAAACTGTTGGTTCCACCACTGGTTACCATGATTTCCCTGTGGGTTCATTTGTAGAGGAGTAACTAAAGCATGATGTCACATTAACCTCTTGCTTCCCCTTCATTTATTTTGCCTGCTTCTTGGAAAGTTCTGAAACAGAAATGATCAGTAGTTGTGTCCTTATGCCACTTGGGATTCCCTGTGTGAAGATGAGTACTTTTTCTATTCCAAGGTTCTTTACCTTTTCTGGGATTGATGCCAACCAACCACCCCTCCCGCACCCTATTCTTTGTAACCCACTGCTGAACCCCCCCGCCCCCCCCGCCCCAATCTGTGCATATGTAAAGTCACCACTGCAGCATCAGTCCTGATAGAATTTCTCTCACCCTGTTGGAATTTTACTTCAGTGACTACATCTAAATTGCTCAAAGCTTTTAATAGCATCAGTTTTAGATAGAGAACGAATCTAATCAGCCCTGACATCAGTAACACATTCTAAATTTAAAGCCATCAGCTAATGCTGCATTCAGTAATCATTTTAGTTAACCATCTTGTTTGGCTTGATTGCATTTGATGGTGTAAACAAACAAACAGAAAGAATATAATTTTTCTCCAGTTGAGTGTATGTAAACAAATCAATTTAATCTTTATAAATTCATTATTTAAATCACATTAATGGAGAAGGATTTAAGAGTTTATTAAAAGATGTTTCTCTTATGATTCCAAGTAAAATCAAAGTGTAACACATTTAATCTCTTTGTGGGTTCTTGAAATGTTAGTTTTAAAATTTGCAACACCACATCCAAAAGGGCTGCAAAAGTCCTCAGGACCCCCTGGAGGACTCTGGAGGCGCCGTTGGGGGCCACATCCACATCAGAAGGGACTACTCAGAACCACAGGACTGTTGTGCCAAAGACTGGGAATCTGAGAACCACTGAGAAGCCATCACCGATGCAAACACACGAGGGTTGATTTACAAGCTTGAGCTTGAGTCCAACTACACCCGACACAGCGGAGCAGGGACTTGGACCCCGAGCTCAGTCACTCATCAGGAAATGCATCTTTATGGGTTTGTAAAGAACTGAGAGACATTATTACCAGTGGTCCTATTATTATTTTTTTTCCCAGTGGTCCTATTATTATGTGAAGGATTCTTCCCTGAGATTCTTCCCCTGTTTCAACTGACACTGAAACACTGTGAACCCTTTGGAAGACAAATGTCAAGGAAATAAACGTTATGCATTGCTAATTTGAAATGCACTTGCAATATGGTGTCTATTATAATAGAAGTATTTTTATCTGATTTTTGCTATTTATTATCCTTTCCTGCTTTTCAGGTTCAGGAGGCATTATACGTGTTCTTAAGTGTTTTTCTTTCCTTCTGATATAAAATTCTTACTTTGTTCCCATCGAAGGAACTCTTTAAGACTAAGGCAAAAGTTAATTGAACTATTCTTAAAATGTCAAAAAAAAAAAAAAAAAAAAAAAAGCCAGCGATTCAGCTTTACCCTGAGTCTCGTCACAGCAATGGACTCGGATGAGGTGTGAGTCTGGAGGTATCCATGAGTGACCTGCTTTCTCCCTGATGCTAGAAACATCAATTCCTGTTTCTTGAGTATTGGCAGGTATTTGATACTTTGTTATGCTTGGTTCATGCTTGCCACATTATGTTGAATCATGTGATGTTTGGATCTTGTGGGACCTACCTGACGTATTCCGTAGGGTTCCCAAGAATTAATTGTAAGAGGTTTATGATGCCAATTTATATTCTTAAAAGGGTGTTCATTAGTGAATGAACAAAAACTGGCTGTAGGATATATTGTAAGCACTTCTGTGATGGTGTGGGCCATAGTGCGAGAGCCTCGCTGGCCATACAAGTTCTCTGCACTTGCAGCTGGAGGAGGGCAGTGGCCAGGACACATAGAGGACTTGATGTGGCTCTCTTCTCCCTCCATTTGTTCAATTCACACCCTTTTTTCAGTCTTTATGTTAGCAAGATGCCCGCGACTGCCAGCACAGCCCCACCCAGCTCCCTTTCCTAAGAACCGGACCCCCTACCCTCCTGCATAGTTCCTATCTGAAATTGGACTCATCTCAAATGGAAACAAGTCTTATTCATCCTCCCAAACCTGTTTCACCTCCAGTGTTCCTGGACCATTGGAATCCTGACTGTTCTCTGACATTTCCCCTCTTTCAAATCCAGTTCGGTATCTAAACCTGTTGACTCCATTTCCACTGTCACTTCCCACAGCCTGAAGGCCAAATCCTAACTTCTGCTGGGTTATTGCAAAGCCCCTCCTGAACCTCTTTGCATAAACGCAGCCCTCTCCCATAGAAGTGTCACACTGCAGTATGCACACCCCAGCAAAGTGCACTGCACATAGTAGATGCTCCATGTTGCTTGCTCAAATCTTCCTTTTGAATCTGTAGCTGCATTTTTGAGTATCCTCTAGCAGGCCTGCTGTGCCCTGTACAGACCTCTATCTTTATGCTCTTCCTCTCAGGCTCTTCCTAGTTGAAATTGTCTTGGGAATAGCCAGTGCTGGGGAAAAGCACATTAGGATGTCACATTGAGGCGCCATTGACTGATAATGGTTCACTCATGTGTATCCTGCTGGGCAGCACTTGTGTCTTCACGAGGATCCAGGATCCAGGATCGTGCTTTAATTCAGAGGCCCCAAACAGCAGTCTGTGAGCTCCAGGTGCCACTTACCCTGTTTCATGTGGCCTTCACAATGTCCTACATACTTCTGAATTGGATGCCAGCATTTCGAAATTAGTAGACTGATTTACACAAAAGATTTCTCTTGAGCAACTGAGCTGCTGTTCACACAGGCTGGTGAACACACTGAGCTGAGAGGTGGTGCTAATAAGCACAGTGCCTGGCCCATAATATGCACTCAACAAATTTCTAAGATATGGAAAAGAAGGAAGCTCACAAAAGATGATGATGCTATTCAATATGGTTTCTTACTTCTACTGATAGCTCCTTTCACTTCAAAAAATACCTCAAATGCCATTTTATGATAGGGCCAAGTGACTTTTAAATACCATACTATTTTAAATATCTAGTTTAAAATGTATTCAACATCATCTAGCTTTTAATTTTTTTTGCCTTAAGTTGTAATATTAATTATGTAATAGCTAAAGAATTAAACAATGATTTGAGGTCTTGATTATATAAGATGAAATATGTGTTTCTGTGATGATATATTTATGTCCGATCTAATGTAGTTATCAGCCTTAAATACCCATGCCTTTCATGACAAGCAGTAAAACTTAAACAAAATATGTGCCTAATCCTTGCACATATTATTTTTGTTCTTCCACTGGCCAACTCTAACATCTACATTCTATTTTGTAGAGCTTGTGACATTCAAGAAAGATAATCTTCCTCGTTAGTACATTGAAAAGAACTTTCCTCTTTAGGAAGCAAGCTCTGGGAGGCAGAAACTGGGTTGGGTACAGTCTATGTTTTGCTCAGCTGCCCAAAGGCACAAACAATTGATGACGTACAAAGAGAAATACAAGAGATTTCCTAAAGAAAAGTGATGCATTCTTTCTTTTCTAGCATGATGTGGAAGAAAATGGCTGGTAGGTGTAATGACTATAATTTCTTAACAGTTATGATAAGTAAGTAAATGCTTCTGAGCTTTTTTAGCTTGGATAAATTGAACAGAAAAAAATGTTCATTACATGGAAAAATTTTATTTAAAAACATTATGCTACTATAATTTCTTATCCAGAATGAAAAAAAGATGTCAGAAAAATTATGCCTTTGACTATGATAGAAAATGTGAAGTTTGAAATCATCTCACCTCCCACATTAAAATTCAACTGAAACAGCATTCAAAGAGAACGTAGATTTGAAATTCTAGCGTGGGTGGTTAAGTGTTTGTAGCACATTCTGACTGTTCTTGTAGGTAGGCATTTCAATGTAATGGCAGAACATGTTAATTTGAAGGAAATTAGAACTTTAAATGACACTGTTAAATTAATTACTCATCAAAATTGATAGTCACCAAAAATGACCAATGCTTTCTCTCAAATTTTAAATAATTATAAGCAAATAAAAGAGGTCATAGAAACTTTATTTAAAACTCCACTTAAAGGGATCCCTGGGTGGTGCAGCGGTTTGGCGCCTGCCTTTGGCCCAGGGCGCGATCCTGCATACCTGGGATCGAATCCCACGTCGGGCTCCCGGTGCATGGAGCCTGCTTCTCCCTCTGCCTGTGTCTCTGCCTCTCTCTCTCTCTCTCTGCGTGTGACTATCATAAATAAATAAAATTAAAAAAAAAAAAAAACTCCACTTAGAGAACCAGAAAACGGAATCCTAGGTGGTTCATTAAGTTAAGCATCTGCTTTCAGCTCAGGTCATGATCTCCCTGCTCAGCAGGGAGCCTGCTTCTCCCTCTCCCTCTGCCCCTCCCTGCCGCTCATGTTCTTGCTTGCTCTGCTCTCTCTCCTAAATAAATAGAAAAAAAATAGATAAATAAATAAATAAACTTAACCAAAAAAAAAAAAAAAAAAAAAAAAAAAAAAAGAACCAGAAAGCAGAGCTCAGGGTTACTACATTAGCCAAAGTGACGGAAGGGAGGTTCTGGAAAGAGTAGTCACAAAGGGAAACACCAAATTCTGTATACTTTGCCTAAATTGGCAGATGACCTCTGCACCATGCACATGTAGGGCAGATTCAAGCATCCCAGTTAAGGCTGAGGGAACTAAATGAGATTTCAGCTGCCACCATAACAAGAGAGACAAAGTATGGAGTATGAATACAGCCAAAATAACTGCCTGTTAATACTTTGTCAACCACAGACAACTTCTTCAGAGGAACATAACTGAATCCAGAATATCTACATTCCTTAAATATCTAGAATACAACTCAAAATTACTAGATATTTAACAAAGAGGAAAACATGACTCCTAATCAAGAGGAAATTACTGACAATTCCAAAATGATTTATATAGTGGAATTAACAGATAAAATGTGAAAGCTGCTAGTATAGTTTTGCTCAAAGACGTAAAAGAAAATATGCCTTCATAAGTAAACAAATAGGAAATCTCATCAGAGAAACAGAAAGAAATGAATAGAAATTTTAGAATTAAAGGTACAATATCTGAAATAAAAAAAAAATCACTAGCCACTTCTAACAAGTGATTGGAGATAACACAGAAGAGAAAATCAGGGAACATAGAAAATAGATTATTCAATCGCAAGATCTGAGAGAAAAAAATGAAAACAAAACAAAAAAGGAGAAAGCCTCAGAGAATTGTATATATATATTTGATTTGTATATATATATATATATATATATATATATATATATTTGATTTGATTTGTATATATATAAATATATATATAGTTCAGGAGAATGAGAGAATAGGGAAGAAGAATATTTGGAGAAATAATAACCTCTAACTTTCCAAAGTAGGTGAAATACATAAACTTATAGATGTTAAAAGTTCAGAAAATACCAAGCGGGTTAAGCATGAAGAAAATTACGGCCAGACACATCGTAATGAAACCACTGAAAGGCAAAAATAAAGAAGAGAAAAATGTGAAAGTAGTGAGAAAAAAAAAGGCAAATTACATATAAGGAAACATCAAAGGAAGGAAAGATCTGAATGATGTGTGCTCCATCAGAAACAAATGGAAGCTGAAGACATGATCCTTTTTAACAAAATCTCTGTGAGCAGCACATGGGGCTAAGATACTCTTTTTTAACCATTCTGGCAATATCTTCTTTTTAATGGAGTACTAGTCAATAACACTTCATGAAATTATTAATATAATTAGATTAAGGTCTCCCACTTTGTTTTCTGCACTTCATCTGAAAACTCTTTTGGAAATCCTTTATTGTATGATAAAGGAGAGCAAAATAAAAAATGAGTGCAAAAATACGAGTAAAGTCTGATTATTAGATAAAAGCATTGTATCAGCATTAATTTCTTGATTTTGATAATTGTATTGCTATATAAGAGTCTATCCATGTTCTTAGGGCATGTACACTGACATGTGTAGGGGTAAAAGGGCATCATGTTTGTAATCTATTTTCATATGGTTCTGAAAAAAACAAGTATGAAACAATGAAGTAAATATGGTAAAATGTTGATAATTACAGAATCTGGTTGGAGGAAACATGGGAATTTTTTGTGCTTTCAAATTTCAAAATAAAACATTATAGAGTAAAAAGAGATGAGGTCAGAAATGAAATGTTCTCTAAATTCTAGTTGAGTGTGAATGATCAGCTTGTATGAAGGAAATGAAATATATTATTCTTGGCTTTTTTTTTTTTTTTTTTTTTTTTACTTAAGGAAAACAGACACCATCATCAATTTACATGAGTAAAATGAGGTCCCATTGACTTCCTTAAGGTCACATTATGATGTAAAAGTCCTGTTTCAGCAAAATAATGATGAAAATGATAAACTCAGATTTTCTTTCAAGTCTCAAGAAAGATGCTCAGTTGGTTAAGGGTCTTAGGCTCATGAGTCATGATCCTGGGATGAGGGGTTGGCTCCCTGCTGAGTGGGGAAGTGGGGAGTCTGCTTCTCCCTCTGCTCCCCCTTCCCCCTGCTCTGCCCCTGCAGAGCTTGTGCTCTCTACAATTGCTCTCTATCAAATACATAAGATCCTTTATTTTTTATTTTAAATATGACATGTTAACTAACCCCCCCCAAGGTAATAAAGGTAGAAATCAATCACCCAAAGCCCAACCGGATGCCTAATCCATATGGAGAACTGCACTAGCTACTGTTATCGTTCAGAGAGGTATCACCATGTCACACAGGACCAACACTGTCGAAATAGATATTTCAAAGTTTTAAGTACTACATTTTCTTTTTTTTTTTTTTAGAGATTTTATTTATTTATTCATGAGCCACACAGTGAGAGGGGAGGGGGTGCAGAGACACAGGCAGAGGGAGAAGCAGGCTCCGTGCAGGGAGCCTGATGTGGGACTCAAACCCAGGACTGCAGGATCAGGCCCTGGGCTGAAGGTGGTGCTAAACCGCTGAGCCACCTGGGCTGCCCCTAAGTACTACATTTTCAACTAAATTCTAAGTACTTTTTCAAGCGAAGTCTTGGGAGAAAGAATCTAATTACTCACCTTTTACCAGTAATGTCTTCACTCAGTTACTGTTGGTAAATGGTATAAACATAGCACCGACAGGCTGGTCGTCTAAGGAAACTTCCACGGTTACTGACCTGGGTTAGGGCAGTAGACTGGCAAGGGCGGCTTCGAGTCTAAAGCTGAATCCCACCGTCACTAGCTGTGTGATCCCGGAATGGCTGGCTCCTCCAACCTGCAGTGTCCGACAGTGGGACAGACAGGAGGATTCACGGGCATTACAATGTGGAACGTGACCCCCGTAACGAGAATGAAAATCGGGATCCCTGGGTGGCGCAGCGGTTTGGCGCCTGCCTTTGGCCCAGGGCGCGATCCTGGAGACCCGGGATCGAATCCCACGTCGGGCTCCCGGTGCATGGAGCCTGCTTCTCCCTCTGCCTGTGTCTCTGCCTCTCTCTCTCTCTCTCTCTCTCGCTCTGTGTGACTATCATAAATGAATAAAAAAATTAAAAAAAAATTTAAGAATGAAAATCACCTTGAAAAATATTTTAAAAAGGTCATCATCACCTAAATGTTTGCATTCTTAACCAGACCAGGGCCGGACTTCACCTTGAGAGACGATTTGGTTTAGAAAGCCCATCACCGGGATCCCTGGGTGGCGCAGCGGTTTGGCGCCTGCCTTTGGCCCAGGGCGCGATCCTGGAGACCCGGGATCGAATCCCACGTCGGGCTCCCGGTGCAAGGAGCCTGCTTCTCCCTCTGCCTGTGTCTCTGCCTCTCTCTCTCTCTCTCTCTCCCTGTGTGACTATCATAAATAAAAATCAAAAAAAAAAAAAAGAAAAAAAAAAAAGAAAGCCCATCACCACAATGATACGACCCTGACTTTTAAGTCCCATTTGCTTAAAATCACCTGACTGCCAACGTTTCCACAGGTGTCCCGAGCACGCGGGAGCTGCACGACCCGACCCCGGGTGGCCTTCCCTGCTGGAAAAATCATGCCTTTGACCATGACAGAAAATGTGAAGTCTGAAACCATCTCACCTCCCACATTAAAACCCAACCAAAACAGCATTCAAAGAGAACGTAGATTTAAAACCCCGAGCTGCCGCGGCCAGGCCGTGCTGGCTTTCCCACCACCCGTGCCGCGCGCGTCCTGAACGTCAGGAAAAGCAGCTCGCGCGGGGACATTTTTAACACCGAGGATTTCTCCAGCTTCTCCTGCCAAACTGGCGAACCGCCACAGTCAGCATATTGCCACCCCGTGGCTTCCCAGGGCCTGCGACCCCTCGGGTGCCTCCGCGAGCCACCGGGGAGTTTTCCTCCGGCGCTGGGGCTGCGCACGCGCCCGGCCCAGCACCCGACCCTCGGCCCCCAGACGAGGGCTGCCGGCCCCGGTCGCTCCCGCACCCCTCGGGCCGTCCTCGGGGCCCACAGCGACGGCGAGCGGACGAGGGGGCGGGGTGGGGAGGAGGCAGGACCCGCCAGCAAGTTCCTGCTCCCGCGCCCTCTGGAAATCCCAAGGGGCCCTCCTGGACCGACGCCGCGCGCCGTCCACCCGGACACGCATCTCCCTCGCTGAGATTGACTCCTTCGGCCTTCCGTTTTCCCCTTCGGGGGAGGGAGGGACTTCCGGCTTCCTCTCCGAGTGGCTTCCGGCAAGAGCTGATGGGCCGAAAAGAAGGCGGCGCACGGGTCGGCCGGCCACTCGGGGCCGAAACAGGGAACTCGATGTGCTTTCGCTAAACCAGTTCCGGGACCCTGTTTCTTGGTCGTGGTGTCCGGCGCTCGGTCCACCACGGAGGCGACCTGGGAACCGCCGGAAGTCGCTCGAATGAGAGGCAGGAAGTCCCTCCCCTTCCTCCCAGAGGGAAGACGGTGAGCCGGAGGAGTCAGTCAGAGGGGCGAGCAGGAGCGATTCCGTCGGCAAACAGGTAAGTTATTCTCTGGCCGGGGCGGGGGGTTTGGAGGCGGGGACCGTCCAGCGTCAGCGCGGGGCCTGGGGGCGGTGGCTTGAGGGCCCGGGCCCGGGCTGCTGGGCGCCGGGAGCCCCGCCAAGGCCCTTCGCTCTTCCTCCTCCCCCCTCCCCCCGCCTCCGCCCCTCCCCGCTCGCCGGTCCCTCCCGACGCCGCCCAGCCTCGCCCGGCACACGCCCGCCGCCCGCCGCCCGCCGCCCGCCGCCCGCCGCCCGCCGCCCGCCGCCCGGCCTCCGCTCCCGCCCTCCTCCCGCTCGCTGCGCGACAGCCTGCGGCGGGGCTCGCGGGCCGGCGGAGCCTCGGCTTCCCCGCGGGCCGGCTGTCAGCACCCCGTCGCGCCGTGGGTGTGCGGGTGAAGCACCCGCCCCAGCCTGGAGCCGCGGCCCCGCCGGTTGACCGTCCGGGCGGTGGTTTCCTCCGCCTCCTCCTCCGCCTCCTCCGCCTCCTCCGCCCGCCGGCTCCCGGGTCACCCCCAGATGCACCGACGCGCCGCTGCTGCCCGCGCCTCCTTCCGTTAAGGACGCTGGAGCCCGGGAGCAGCGCGCCTGCAGGGGAGGGTCCTGCGCCTCGGCCCGGCGGCTCCGGACGCGGGGAGGCCCGGGCTGCGGCGCGGCGCGGCGCGGCGCGGCGGTGCGCGGGCGGCTTCGGCCCGGGTGGAGACCCACCTCTTGCCAGGCCCAGCGCGTCCTGAGCGTGCTCGCCCGCGTCCTCCAGGTCGGGCTGCGGGGGGTGCGTCCAGGAGTGCTGACCCCTGTCGGCTGAGCTGAGTTTGATGGCCCGTCTGTTTCCCTTGAAACAGGTTGAGGGGATAGGAAGGGCATCTCGGCAGGGTGAGCATCCCTCCACACACGTGCAGGAGGTCTTTACTTTGTAGGCGAGCACAGCCCTCGCGGTGACCGCGCTGTCAGTTTGCCGCCGGTGCCGCTGCGTTGAGTCACAGTGTGCCCTGCCGCGCGGCGAGGAGTCCGGCCCAGCGGGAGCTCCGCGGAGGGAAGGGCCCTGCCATCCATCGGAACGGCGTTTCTGAGGCATCCTCTGTATGCTGCATTTAGCTCAGCAGCCTCGTAGACCAGGATTTGATTGTCCCCTCTTCGCCAATTAAAACTCAGATTAAATACTGCGAACAAAGTTAATGTCAATCCAAATCTCAAATGCTTGTTACTCATTCTTCGAGTTTGTTACTCTCGAGATAAGGAACGCCTCTTGGCATGTCTC